ATGGGCTTTGCGCTGGACCACGCGGACGCCAGCGCCGACGTGGTCGGGGTGCTCAAGGAAAGCCTCCTCGTGCCCGAAACCCCCATTCACGGTGCGTTAGTTCTTGCTCTCTGGTTTCGTTTTTTTAAGCTACTACTGCTGTACCGCCGCCGAGTGGGGATCTGTCTTTTACGTTCGGTGGTGTCATATGTGTGGTAACCATGTTTTTTTTTTTGTGTTGCTTCCTTGTCTTGATGCGGTTGGTGCGCCTGGTGTGCTGCTTGCCAACACACGCCGGTCCATTAACAAATCTAATCTTACCGCCGCTAGAGTACGCCGGAGAAGTATAGGAAGGAAATAAGAAGGTTGTGAAAGAACTCGAGACGGCGCAGATGAAAGCAGCGAAAATCATCCTAGGATGCTCCAAGCGCACAAGTAATGTAGCAGTCAGGGCAGAATTGGGGATCCAATCCCTACGGTCGGGAAGAGACGCAAGGAAGCTGACATGGCAGTATCGCATGTGCGGGATGGGAGAGGAGAGGTTGCCGAGAATAGTATGGGAGGCGAAGTGGGCAAACAAAAAGAGGGGTAGACAACCCACGGAATGGGTCAAGGTTGTAGAGGATGTATGGAAGGGGTTAGACATCGACGAAGATGAAACGCTGGAAACGGAGGGTCTACAGGGGTTCAAGGAGAAGTATCTGTTGCTTGTGCCGAGAGAGAAGAACAGAATCTAAGGAAAGAAACCAAGGATAATGAGAGTCTAGAAGTGTACGGAATGTTGAAAGAAGGAATAGGGTTCAAGGATTACCAACATGGACCAATGGATGCAGGGACAAAGCTTAAGGTCAAATTGAGGACCGGGGACATAGGCCTTTGCGAACGTCGACGAAGACATAGGACGGTAGACGAAGACGACAAGTTCAAATGTGATTGCGGCTTCGAATGCGAAGACCGTATTCATGTAGTCGCGGAATGTCGGCTGTACAATACGGAGAGGGAAGTTGCATGACTGAGCTGGGAAAAATACAAGGGACGTGCAGGGAGATGTTTGAGGCATGGAATAGAGAGGAGAGGACGGTAGCTGTACTGGGGAGTAGGAAGGGGTTTGAAAAGGCGGGAAGGGATATCGTTAGCATAGACAAGACTAGGGAAGACATTTTTGAGCCACCTTTGGCAAAGTAGGAAAGAACGATTGGCCATCGGTAATCGGTCCTGTGGGAACAATGCTCCGTCCTTCTCGAGGACGCGTG